TGGTTTGCTGATTTAAATTATTACATTATGTCATTTTTTTTAGGTATGGTGATAAATATTTGAGAAGATCGCACGAGAATTAGTTGAATTCCTAATTTACTAAATTCCAAATCCAAACGGATAACATGTGTCTTGGTTTGCTTCAACATGGGATTAAAGTAGTGTCATTGGTAATACTCTTTGCACTTTAACCAATTTTAAAGAGATTTGCCAAGCTTTATATTCAAAATATATTTAGGAAAACGAATATGGCTTATGGGACTTTTTAGATCAACTTTTTACTTGCAAATAATTATTACATAAACATTTGTTAGATGTTTACCATATATTTTGTATTTCATAAAACGTCAATCCTTTGAGCAACTAACAATAACATGCAATAAAATGATGATAGCTTCCTTTTCGGAAAACCTATATAAAACCCGCTTCTCTGCTGCACGATTTATGTAGATCACAAGATTATTACAAGATTGTTTATAATGATTGTTTTGGTTACGATCATAAGACTAAGAAGTTAAATGCTGAGCATAGCATTATTTATATAATTTGCTTCCTTTTTCAAATTGTTAGATTACGTATAATTTTTTCGTTTGACATAATTTGTTTAAAAACATTTCCGAAAATGCCACATTTAAATTTTTAACATTTTTTTGTATTCTACAGTTTGAGACTACTAACCAAAGCAATTTTGCTTTTGGTCCCACAATATTCAAATACATGTTTTTAGTTACTGTAATTAAGAAGTGTGTACAAAAGACCTCAACCCCTGTTTCGTAGTAGGTGTGTATCTTTCCATAAAACCAATTTGAAAATTTTTCAGTTGTCACTGAGTGAAGCTTTAATGTGCAGAGAAAGGTAACTAGAAATGAAATCAAGTTGACTGTATTTTTTGGTGCAGACTGTGCAGTAAGGTTTTTTGCTGTAAACGGAGTGTTTTGAGTGTTGCTTCTTGATAGATGATGTGAGCATTTGTGTGCATGTTACATTCAGTTGTTTCTTTTTTGTACGCAATGCTGTAGCCAGCGTTTTCAAACAAGGTAGTTAAAACCTAGTGTGAAACCCCTCTTATTTCTTTTATTTTCTATATGAACAATTACTTTAAAATTTTTATCGTTGATCTTTATTGTTATAGTAGAAACATGCCTTCATAGCCTGAGGTGGCAGTTTCGAATGCTACTGAAAAATGAAACAATTTGTTCCTATTTAGGCATTAATATTATCTATTTATATTTCTATTTTGTTTATTGTGTATTTGTATTGTGTTATATATATATATATATATATATATTATATGTATATATATACGTTAGATACTTGAGAATATACTTGAGAATTAGTTTCATTACACTATGATAAATAATAGCCTATGCAGAACCTATACACACACACATATATATATGCCTATATATGTATATATATATATATTATATATATATATATATATATAATTTGCTTAGATAAAAGCGATATCTGAATGTGTACACTTAAACAAGCTTTACCAAAAACATCGATATTAGATATATATTAGTATACATAGGCAACATTTATTCCGATTACAATCGGACAACATGTTAAGGTTTAGTTCAAATTTAGTGTAACCTCTGCCAATAATGAAAATGGTGTATAGGCCTAATTGTTAAATGCTAACCTACTGTTTTTCTCTGTCGTTATAGTAAATTACAAAACTAAGCAATGTATTGGCAGCATCCTATTTGTAAACAAAATCCCACATAATATCCACGCTTCCAAGTGGCACAATAAGGAAGTCATAGAAAGCCATCACAAGCATATGTATAACAAGTGCTCTGGCTGTGATCAGAGTACTGATTTGTTATATCTTTTGGCAATGGTTTATTCCGATTCCCTCTAGAGTAATATTTGCTAAAAAGTACTGAAGATGCCACATGAGACCTTCTATCCTATCTAAGAATACTAAGCCATTTTGTTTTTTGGTCTGGAAATATTCAGATTCATGTTTCTTTTTAATACAATTATTAAGCATTGTGTGTCAAACACCCTGATACCAGTATTATACTACTTTCTTTTTGGCGTGTTTGTTTGCATAAAGGCCGATATGCACGTTTTGCTATAACTGAGCCAAGTTTTAAAGTGAACGGAAAGGTTAATGAAAATGAAAACAAGTATGTGCATTGTTTGTGTTAGGAACAGAGGTGCAATAAGTTGTTACTGTAAACATGTTGCAAATATTTAGAGTGTTGCTTTTTGATGGATGGAATCGAATAATAATTTCTCTATTTAGAGAGTTTTTGTGTATGTTGCCATTCAGTTGTTATGCTGTACTCTGTACCGTAGCCAGTATTAGAATAAGATGGGACAATCTAAAATTATAAGAAATATTCTTTAGGTTACACATTTGAGACAGAATTTGTTTACATATTGTGAAAGACCCAATTGACTTTTGCGGGCCTTTTTTAAAACAATAACGGTGTTGAGGTATAATGTCACCGCACATTAAAAATACAGATTTTAAATAAATTGAAGAAGGATGGATCCAAATTGTTAACTAGGCTAACGTCACAATGGATGTGAATGATGAATGCCCCAGGGAAAATAAGCGATTTTTTATTATTTGGTAGACTAATCTGAGTTTCATTGTAATTAGTAGGATACCTCAAACTGTGCAATTAGGAACGGGCCCACCAATGGTTTAGAATCGATCAAGGTCGAAAGAGGCGAACACATATTTTCCGATTGAAGCCTTTGCTATGTTTCTGTTTCTAAAATTATGCGATTCTGGTAGGATTTGTTGCTCCACAACAAGACATCATATATGTGAAGGAGCCTCAGGGGCGGATCCAGAGATATCAAAAAGGGGGAAGAAAGTGAGGCCGACCGAGACAGCACTACTGTAGAGGAATCCAGGGGCATTCTACTCAAAATTTTCTTTTTCTAGACCAAAAAAAAAAAACAAAAAAAAAAAAACACCTCTGTGGCGTTTTGGGCGATCAATTATTTTTTTTATTTTTTGACTTTCAATAAGGGAACCGAGGCCGGCCACTAAACCACCAAATCCGCCACTGAACGCATCATGGCAATCTAATTGAATTAGGCATACAGATGATTGAAAGTTAGCTTACTATAATCAATATTCGTGTACTGTAATGGCACAGGTTAGAAGTATTACGAACCGTCTGTTCGTAATGATTAGCAAATCATTTGCCAGTCAGATTCTATTTAAAAAAAATTTAAACAAACATAACATTTGTATGTTTATCGAACTTTTTAATAATTAAGAATACTGCATATAAATACTGCATATATCTTTCAACCCTGATATTGTCTATTTTAAAATATGATTCGTAAGTTGGCCTAAATAAATTATTTTAATTCAATTACATTTAAGAATTAGGACAAATTACCAAAATGGCATTACAATAAAATATAATAAAAAAAGAATTTTTATCGTTGATCTTTATTGTTATAGTAGAAACAGGCCTTCATAGCCTGAGGTGGCAGTTTCGAATGCTACTGAAAAATGAAACAATTTGTTCCTATTTAAGCATTAATATTATCTATCTATATTTCTATTTTGTTTATTGTGTATTTGTATTGTGTTATATATATATATATATATATATATTATATGTATATATATACGTTAGATACTTGAGAATATACTTGAGAATTAGTTTCATTACACTATGATAAATAATAGCCTATGCAGAACCTATACACACACACACACATATATATATATGCCTATATATGTATATATATATATTATATATATATATATATATATATATATATAATTTGTTTAGATAAAAGCGATATCTGAATGTGTACACTTAAACAAGCTTTACCAAAAACATCGATATTAGATATATTAGTATACATAGGCAACGTTTATTCCGATTACAACCGGACAACATGTTAAGGTTTAGTTCAAATTTAGTGTAACCTCTGCCAATAATGAAAATGTTGTATTAGGCCTAATTGTTAAATGCTAACCTACTGTTTTTCTCTGTCGTTATAGTAAATTACAAAACTAAGCAATGTATTGGCAGCATCCTATTTGAAAAAAAAAATCCCACATAAAATCCACGCTTCCAAGTGGCACAATAAGGAAGTCATAGAAAGCCATCACAAGCATATGTATAACAAGTGTTCTGGCTGTGATCAGAGTACTGATTTGATCTTTTTACAATGGTTTATTCCGATTCGCTCTAGAGTAATATTTGCTAAAATGTACTGAAGATGCCACATGAGACCTTCTATCCTATCTCAGAATACTGAGACATTTTGTTTTTTGGTTTGGAAATATTCAGATTCATGTTTCTTTGTAATACAATTATTAAGCATTGTGTGTCAAACACCCTGATACCAGTATTATACTACTTTCTTTTTGGCGTGTTTGTTTGCATAAAGGCCGATATGCACGTTTTGCTATAACTGAGCCAAGTTTTAAAGTGAACAGAAAGGTTAATGAAAATGAAAACAAGTATGTGCATTGTTTGTGTTAGGAACAGAGGTGCAATAAGCTGTTACTGTAAACATGTTGCAAATATTTAGAGTGTTGCTTTTTGATGGATGGAATCGAATAATAATTTCTCTATTTAGAGAGTTTTTGTGTATGTTGCCATTCAGTTGTTATGCTGTACTCTGTACCGTAGCCAGTATTAGAATAAGATGGGACAATCTAAAAGTAGGCCTAGAGCAAATATTCATCAGGTTACACATTTGAGACTCTTCAGAATTTGTTTACATGTGAAAGATTCAATTGACTTTGCGGGCCTTTTTTTCAACTATTAATAACGGTGTTGAGTTATAATGTCACCGCACATTAAAAATACAGATTTTAAATAAATTGAAGTTTAATAAATAATATAAAAATATAATAATATATATAATAATAAAATATAATAAAAAAGAATCACCTCGCTTAGTTGTTAAAGTAAGATTAGATCCGGAAAATTCCAGTCTGTTATTAGAAGTAAAATCTGTATAACAAGAATAAACAAAGACAACTTATTGTCATTGGCTGTTGTGACTTAACAGTATCAACATGTCAGCTGCTTCATTCAGGTTCATCGTCATTGTTCTCACTGTTCATATTGGTATAGTATTAGGTACGGTAATTATTATCAGACATTTACAAAAAATGTTTATTTCAATTTACAATATTTTTAAAATATGTGTAGGATAGGTTATATGTTCTTAATTCCATAATATATTATCATAAGTGGGGTTGTTGTTCATAACCAAGTAACTTACTTGGTTTTACACAAATACTTGGAAAATCCAAATACCACTTGGCCTAATAATTTTGAGTTGGTTGAGATCCGAACGACAACTGGAAAGACTTGGGTTCAAATACCGTAGGGGACACACGTTTTTCTTAAATATTTACTATAATCCTTATTATCTCTAGTGGGGGTGTTTCTTCCATACTAAAGTTACTATAAATGATGATTTACAACTATTATTATTATTATTATTATTATTATTATTATTATTATTATTATTATTATTATTATTATTATTATTATTATTATTATTATTATTATTATTATTATCATTATTATTATTATTATTATTATTACTGTTATTACTGTTATTAGTATTATTTTATTACTGTTTTATTATTGTTATATATTACTATTGTTATTACTATTATTATTTTTATTATTATTAATTATTATTATTATTAATTATTATTATTATTATTATTATTATTATTATTATTATTATTATTATTATTATTATTATTATTATTATTATTATTATTATTATTATTATCGGGGTGATGTTTTGCCCTACTTGACGTATTGTCGTACCGAATACTCACTACGTTCCAAAATACTTGCCAAAAGTATTCGCAAGTGATTCGGGTGGGAATGAAACCCAGGGTCTACAGATAGCTAGCCTGGTTCCATAATCACTAGTCTACCGAGCTTTAGCTTAGTGACCAGTGTCACGTAGCAGCGAGTACTGCAAATGCTATTACGATGTGAGATTGCAACTGCTATCATAGGAGTGAAGTTTTGGGAACGTACTGAATATTCGGTACGATAATGTTTGCCCTGCCTAATGTATTATTATTTTTTTTCCTTGCACATTTTGAGTTGGAAGGTAAATGTACATATTTATGAATCATAAACATAATTTAAAAAGGAATATTTTTGGCATATTCTTATATTTGTAAGGTAATACTTTTTGGTTTACAGGTTCCTCGCTTCGACTAGCTGGAGGAACACGTTACAAAGGACGTCTTGAGGTCTACATTGAAAGGCAATGGGGTACAGTATGCGATGATATGTGGGGTTATAGTGATGCACTTGTGGCCTGTCGTGAACTAGGCTTTGGAGATCCAAAGCAGGCCATAATCTCATCATTTCCAGGAGGAAGTTTTACTCAAAGCATACTCTTAGATGATGTTAGCTGTACTGGTTTAGAGTCTAGTCTTTTGTCATGTTCACATACTAATAAAAATAATCACGACTGCGCTCACGACGAAGATGTGGCCATAGAATGCTATCCAACAGGTTAGTAAATAATTTAAGTGAATCCTTGGTTATACTAGTTTATTATCGTTTTAATAATAATAATAATAATAATAATAATAATAACAATAACAATAACAATAACAATAACAATAACAATTACTATTACTATTACTATTACTATTACTATTACTATTATTATTATTATTATTATTATTTTTTTTTTTATTTTTATTTTTTATTTTTTATTTTTTTTGGCCTTTTTGAATTTATTTTAAATGTTGAAATATTGCGTAGAAGCCACTGTTATACTTTTTAGAAAACCCACAATATAAGATTTTTTCTTAATTATGTGTTCTCGAAATATAATTTATCTGTACAATTCAAAATCGAAACACTGAGCTGCTGAAGTACTGTGATAGTACCGTGGTCCGTGATCGCCATTGGTTACCACCCAATATCTTAAAAATTTTCAGAATTTTTGAAACACTCCGATGCTCCAACATACATAAGGTAATTACAGTAAGATCAACCGCACGATCACCATCAGTCCCTCCTTGGACCGGATGAAAGATTTGGCGGTAGGGGGTGCATGAGAGCCCGCAGCACCTCAGACCCACCATGGTTGGAGGTGAGGTGAGAAAAGTTTGATAATATGAATCTATAGGTACCGGAAATTGAACAATACAACATTATTTGAAATATACTTAACAGTGAACGACACGTCATCGTCATTGCGGTTGTGACTTTTGTTTTTCAGCATGTCATCTGCTGTCCTTAGGTCATTACTTACAGTAGCTTTTAAATTTTTTGTATCACTACATGTTCAGTTTCAGGTTCAGGTGAGTAAAGCCGACCTCTGTACTTTCTATTTATACCGCAAGTGTAGGTAAGTAAGTATTATTGTACAGTAGGTACCGGTAAGCATTTTTATGTGGCTAACAAGAGTTCTTACGGAATTGAAATTATTTCTTTTCATTTTCTCGTAACTGGTCCTGCACACAGTATATAACAACAACATAATATGAAATATGATTGTCGAATGGTAGGTAATGTAAATGTTAATAAAAACAACCATTTTTTTAGTATTATATATTCTTTAACAACAATAACTATTGCATTAATATTTATAAAACATTTACAAAATGGGTTGATCTGATTTACTCTATTAGTATTTCCCCTAAGATTAACATTATGGTACACTGTAAAATTAAATACTATCATTAACCACTACAGCTAAAAAGAACATACATTCTTTTTTAATAGTGAGTTTATACATTATAAATAAATTATCGATGTAAACAACTTATCTAAATATTAAACAAAACATAAATAATCACATTTTAAACATAGGCCTATAACATTTTGTAGTTTTAGGCGCAAATAAATTTGTATTTCCTTAAATTATAAGAAAGTGTACCCATTGATATTTTAAATAATAATTGGGCATAGAAATTATATCTAAATTCCAAGGATAGACCTGGAAAGTATTAGAAAAGCCGATATAATTCTATTTAATGTTGTATATTGAATATAGCCTTAGTTAAGTATTAGAAATCCCAAACTTAATAATATGACCGCAACTTGTTCATGGCCATATTGGTAACAATGCTTTATTCTTTAAACAATTGTACCCTGAATAAAATCAACCTTGGTATTATGCCTTACACCAGCTAGGAAGCTAAATAAATACGCATAATTACCAATGCCTCCAAAGGCAATATCGTGCGTCTGACGTGTCTCTGTGTCTCGGGCGTGTGTGTGTGTTTGTGTGTTTGTCTGTGTTTCCAGTAGCATAAATCAAAAACAAATAAACTACTAGACCGATTAACCTGAATCTTTCACACATTGACAATATTACATGTATCTCGGTCCTCATCGAATTGGGTGCTCATTAGAGAAGATGTAAATTTTATAACGTTATTTATATACTTGTTCCACTCCGACTGTGTGTCAAATTCTGACAGGCGGATTGGAAGGTGTGTAAGTCCGACTGATGGGCTTGCCACTGGAGGCCTTAGCTAGGCCTCATTTGCCGATGGATTGGAGAAGTAAGATACAGATCTTACAATGTTTTTATTATTTTCCGGCCATATATCTTACAATCTGCTATCCCAATTAAACAAAAAATATGCAAAAGGTATACCAATGAGATGCGAAAATAATGAAAATAATAATAATAATAATAATAATAATAATATAATAATAATAATAATAATATTACCAATCATCTGTCTCTTATACACATCTAGATGTGTATAAGAGACAGGTATATATATAAACCCACTAGAAAAAAAAATAGCGAAATTTTGCTCTGAAAGACCCAACGATTCAATTTATGGACTCCGATCGGGGTAAATTGAAAAAACTATAGCATTATATTATTCACCTCTAGTTTTGCTAAAAATGTGAAAATTGACAATAAACTTAGTTAACTAGTTACTCTTTACTGTCCTTATCAATTTTTATTGAAATGATCATAATGCCAATTTCCAAGATGCCGTTCATCTTGGCGGAGAAAATGGTTATTTTTGTAAGATTATTATTATTATTATTATTATTATTATTATTATTATTATTATTATTATTATTATTATTATTGTACAAAATACAATCTCATCAAAGTAATCACATATAGAATATATATAAATATTATTATTTTAATAGTAGTATTATGCTTATTTATTATTATTGAAATCATTAATAATATTATGTATATATTACTGTATTGTATTTCTGTTATTTCAAAATTATATTTTAATATTAGAATGAATTACATCGTTAGTACTGTTATATAATAATATTATTTATAATATTTTTATTACCACTATCGATATCATTACAGTATTATCATCATCCATCATCATCATCCTCATCCTATTCGTCATCGTCATCATCATTCTCATTGTTGTCTAATCATTATAATCGTCCTTACTATCATCGATCGTTGTAATCATCACCATTATCATCATCACATTATACTCATCAATCGTCATCGTCCTCATCTTCATCACGTCCTCATCAATCATCTATCGCCGTTATCATCATCCTCATAATCTTCATCCTCCTCATTCTTCATCATTTTCTTTATCATCATCCTCATCATCGAAATATTCATCCTCATTCAACATCATCCTCGTCATCATCAATGGCGTAGCCAGCTATTGACACAGTTGGGACAGTCCCACACAATTTTTCCAATGGGTCCACAAAAAATGGGTCCAGATACTTCATATTTTTGCATAAAATGGGCCCAAATTGTTTGAATTTACACGTAAAGTTGGTCCGCTCAGATATTGTCCCACACCGTTTGAAAATCCTGGCTATGGCATTGATCCTCATCACCATCCTCACCAATCATCGTTAACATCATCACCATCACCTTCATCCTACTAATCATCCTCATCCATCATCATCATCCTTATTCTCATCATCATCAACCTCATCCTACTTATCATCATCACTCATTCATCATCATAGTCCTCATTATCATCATCATCATTGTCATTATCATCCTCATTACAATCATCATTACAATCATCATCTATCATCATCCATCATCATCCTTGTCCTCATCATCAACCACATCATCATCATCCTTATTAATCATCATTACCAATCATCATCCTTATCATGAGGATGATAATGAAGAGGATGAGGACGACAAGAATGAAGATGAGGATGAGGGGCAGATGGGATGTTTCTCATCATTCGTCATCATTAACCTCATCAACATCATTCTCATCAATCATCCTCATCATTATCACGATCACCCTCATCAACAACCATTATCATCAATCATAATCATCATCATCCTTATTTTCATCATCAAATTCATCATCCTAATCCTTCTCCTTATTATCATCATTATCCTCACCATCCTTATCAGCATCATTTTCTTTCTCATCATCATCTCAATCATCATCTACGCATCATCCTCATCCTCCTCAACATCATTCTTATCTTCATCACCATAATCATAATCGTCATTACAATCGTCCTCATTATTATTATTATCATCATCATCATCCTGATTACTGTCATCATCGTCATCATTACCATCATCATTATCCTCTTCATCATCAGTCACTACCATCATAATGAGGATGATGAAGATGAGGACGACGAGAATGAAGATAAGGACAAGGGTGAGGATGAGAGGGATGAATCTCATCATTCATCATCATAATTCTCATCAATCATTTTCTATCATTCTCATCACCATCATCACCATCATTATCATCAACAACCATTATCATCACTCGTAACCACCATCATCTTCTTCCTCACCATCATCCTCATCATCTTTCTTCTCCTCATCATCATCATCAACATCCTCCTTATAATGGGGAATATAATGAGGATGGGGATGACAATAAGGAAGCTGATGATGATAATAATAATAATCAGTATATCATCAGTATATTAAGAATAACAGTACTAACGCTAATATTAATGTGACTTATAAACTATAAATTTTTTTAAACGCATAAGAATAATGATATAATATTTTAATAATATTATAGAGTAACAACATAATAGTATACTAATGATGATGAAGAAAAATGTAGTGTAGAAAGATTAAATTTAAATAGGTAAACATTTCCTTTAATTTTGACTGTCATAGTCTTGGAATTCGGCGTGTACGTGTTGACGTCATCATTCCAAATTTGCTTGGGAGGTGGGAAATTCCCGTCGGACAGGCCTAGACTCCCATCGTCCGATGCCACGACGAGGTCGCCACACCACAAATAATGATTTGCTTATCCATATAACATTATTTTGATTGCCAATCCATAATATTTTGGCTTAAAAGCAAAATTTTGGGCCATACAAAGCTAAAAAGGAACTCCCATAAGCCCAAGGAAGTTTATTCCGGGACTCTGACCGAGGGTCTAGTTGGCCCTGTGTTTGGACCCATCCTATCAGTCCCCTTGGGACCACCACTGAATGACTATAATAAGTAAGTATTTCTTGTCAGTTTTCACAGTTATGAAAAAAAAAAAACTAAAAGTGACTAAAAAAATTGGTATGTTAAAGCA